GCGTGCCCGCTCTGACTGGTTTTAAAGGGTTAACTAAAAAGACATATGGTGGTTAAGAACAAATTTAGGTGGTGTTCATGTGTTATGAGTCTGACAGTTTTACCCTGAATGTTTCCATGCACAAATGAGTATTATTATATATATATATATATTGTGCCTATTGTGCGGTTACAGCCAAGATTAGTGGTCAACAGGCAGCTTCCCATTTGACTTTACAGTAGAACACTGGAATGCTCTTAGTATTGTACAAGTGTATTTAGTTTTTCAACAAACTGCATAAAGTCCCATAATTCAAATTCAAAGAGCTGTCAAATGTAAAGTTTCAACTCCCTGTCACATTTACCTTCTTCTTATCCTTCTTTTCATCCTTCTTTGTGAAGACAGTGTGAACCCACCAGATCTTGGTGAACATGCTGCCATATGCAAGACTGAAACCCAGGCCAAGCAGCCACAGGCGAAACTAGTGGAGAAGAAGAGACATGAAAGGTTTAAGATTACATTGATTAATATATCAAGTACATGAATCAAATAAGCTCTTCAGTCATTCTTCATCATTAAGCCCTGTTTGAGTTTGAAATGACAAAAACCCTCTGTGAGGCTGTCGATCCTGTACACAACCCTCTGTAATAGAGCAGTGATGGCCTGTCTGCTATGGGCAGAATAAGTCAGACAACTGACATCACAAGGAAGAGTAAAAGTTTAAGTCAAAGTCTCATCAGGGAGGAAGGAGTAACAATGTTTTACAATAGGATAAGATCTGTTCTTCATTCCACTTAAAGAAATCTGAAATAGTTTGAAGACTTCAAAATACAGAACAATTAGTTGCTTTATCTTTTTGTCCCGTTGATACAGAATTTGTCAGGGCCTATTCATTTATACAACAATACTTCCAAGTAGGGCTGGGCTATATCATACCGTTCACGGTAATACTGGTGTAATTTTGGGCAACGATAGGAAAATGAAATATCGCGATAGAATATGGGTAAAACGCGCATGCACAGTGCCTATGTTTACATACGCACATGGCGGCGACGCAGAATGAGGAGAGCGAAAGTGGATCGTTAAATGAAACCAGAATTGGTTTGTAAAATGCTGCAACTTCAGTGGTGGAACTGGTTTAGCTTTTGTCCGTCAGATACGCAACAAAGCACTATTTTTGGTAGCGCATGCTAGCGGGCCGTCGTTATTACCGTGTTGTTTGGAAAATACGGCGCACTTAAAATCAATCCTTTGATTTTTCTGAAAGTCGACAGTGATTTTATGTACACGGCGCTCGAAAATCTGTCAAATGTTTCAGTACGACTTTGCTAAACTACGAAGCCGCACCGCTTGATGGATTATCGGAGCATTACGGCTATCAACATAATATTACCGTATTGTGTGTGTATAACCTCTTTTTAAGTTTTGTGGATATTATACATGGTTATGCTGAGGATATGTCGGACAATTTCCACTGGAAATGCCTTTTGGTTAAACTGTCAGCAAGCAATTTGCACTGTTACGTTTTTATATAACTTTAATGCACATAAAAAACAGCTGCATGTTTAAGTGAAAATACATTGATGGGGTTTTTTGCACTAATAAAGTTGTGGAGTTGTAAAGTATTTTGTCTAGTGTCAATTATATCGTCAGTTATATCGTTATCGCAAATTTTCAAATTCAAATCCAAGCCTTGGATTGTACAGGAGGGCACCACCATATTGTCTTAGCCGTCACAGTTGTGTCTCTCCTAGCTACTTCTGCTTCAGTTTCCCATTGACAAACTTACTGTTACTCTGTCTGCCTTCTGATTAGGGGTGGGCGATATAAACGATATACGACAGAAACGATATAAATTTGGCCAACGATAGAGATTTTGACTATACCGCTCAACCGCAATAGCGCATATTGATGATGTCATCAAGCTGCGCCTGTTTGGTCGATAGCATCGCAGCGGCTAAAACCATTATCATCTGCAAATTATGCCGGTCGACAATCATAGCAAAGAGATGAAGCACCAAAAACTGCGCTTCCTCCACTTCCGTAACATTGATTCATTAATGTTGAATTCTCTCGCAGCTGTTCTGTTCCCATGTTGTTGCAGTATA